CAAGGTTGACAAGTAAAAGGCACAGTCCCAGTGTTACCAAACCACACAACAGGCCATTAACTTAAGTCCATTGTAAGTCCCAAGGTCGGCAGAGCATAGCAGGCTGCTGGAAAACAACATGGCTACATGCAGGGTCCAAGTGTGCTATAGGCTAGAGACCATTCCCAAAGTTGCTTCTTACATATGGGAAGTAGATCACATACCCAAAGCAGCAACTCAGCTGCTTGTGGTAGAACCCACCATGGAGTGCCAGTCTCATCATGGGCAATAACTACCACCAGCTGCCCAGCCACTCAACCAGGCCCAGCCAAGTTGACATAAAAACATAACCACCACACTTAGCTACAAAAGGTAGGTAAGTGAGTTCCTTGTCACTGAAGGCAAATAAGTGGTTGTAGGTCAGTTATACAGAGGAAACAGTGCCCATCTTGGGGGAAGAAGGGAGAGGAGGCAGGATCAGCTTACTAAAAGGAAGGATTCCTCAGGGTGCCAGCATCATTGTGAATAGGGTACTGATGTGTCTGTCTCTTTCCACCTGGGAGTCCAATGTTGCGACCTTTAGGAATGTAGGTGTTAGCTCAGGGACTGATAGACTTTTCTGTAAAGGGCCAGATAGTAAGTATTCCAGGCTTTGCAGGCTGCCAAGTCTCTGTTGAAACTACTTAACTCTGTGGTGGTAGCATGAGCCATCACAGAGAATATGTAAATGAACAAACCTGGCTATATTCCAATAAAACTTTATTTACAAAAACAGGTGGTATGCCATATTGGGTCCAACACCCTTTGTTGAAGGAATAAGACACCAGGGAGGGCTGGGTGCCAAGAAGTGCTGCCTAGAGGGGAAGGTCTTGGGTCCAGGAGGCTGAGAGATGCAGGAAAGCATTTCTGGCAGTGACTGGCTTCACCCCAGAGTTCATGCATGATGATGAGTGTGGTCCCAAATACTGGCTTTCCCTCTCTGAGGGTCCCCCTCTTCTAGATGCAAAAGCCAAAACCAAACGCACTGCCATCGAGTCAATTCCAACTCATAGCGACCCCTGTCGGATTTCCAAGACTGTAAATCTTTATAGAATTAGATTGCAGAGCGGCTGGTGGGTTTGAACCACTGACCTTCTGGTTAGAAGCCAAATGCCTTATCCACTACACCTCCAGAGCTCCTTCCCCCTAGACCATGGTCTCCTATTTCTCTGATAACTTCAAGTAAATTATTTAAAAAATATTTT